CCCCCCCCAGGTAGCGCGGGTTACTGAGATTAAATGCGTTTATGCTCACCGCTGTGCTACATCAGCCAGTTGAAACAACTGTGATTCAGAATCCTGCTTTCCCACAAGAGAGTTCATCAGCCGGTGTGTGCGCTCTCTCTCACTCACTCACACAGCTGTGACGGATGTGGGGCCAGAGTAGGACATGAGTAGAGGTAGGCAGGGGTTACTATGATGAGATGTAATGATGGCACAGTGCCAGTTGTGTGAAACGGTCCCGGGTGCTCTGAGAACAGCTGCTGGCGTCCCGTCTCCCTGGAGGCCCTGGGAGAGGGAGGGATGAAGAGGAGGAGCGATGTGGGCGGGAGATTGCCTGAAGGGGGATGCTCCGCAGGGGAGCGGGGGACGCTTGCAGGATGCCCCTCTCTCTGGGCAAGAACAACTGGAGACGTACATCGCTTGCATGAAAAACACCTCAAGGGGGGGAACACAGATGGAGGCATGCAGGAGAAATGTATTCTCTAGCGGTCTAGTGATCATTAGTCCCTCGATGACGTGCACGGTGTGGTCACATTATGGGATTGGCTATCTGTATTTTTAACCATCTCTGTGGTGGATTTTTTTTTTTTTTTTTAATTTATTGAACTGTGCCGCTCTGTGGTGCAGTTAACGGAAAAGGTGTAAGCTGGAGGTGGTTTGATCCACAAACTGAACTAGTTTTACATCTCTCTTCTCTAGCCCTAAGAACTTGAAGCAAAGGATTCTGGGTATGGCATAAAGCCCTCTGGGAAAGTGGAATATACAAAGGAAAATGCTCGAAAAAGGAAAAGCAGGAGCGAGTGACAATTATAAATGCAGCAAAAGTGGAATGTGTCTCTGGTATTGATTTGAGATGTTTTGTGTGACTGTGGCAACAGAGAGCACGTTAGATCTAAAAACCAAGGAAATCCACCCATAAGAAGAATTTGCTCCGATATCCATAGCGTCTCATGAATATTCATAGTTCTAGTTTAATATGATAAAAAGACAACAAGAGCAGAGGTGAATCATCCTCCTCCATTATGCGAGGGAACAAAGTGAACGAGTGCAAAAGCAGTCAGAACATTTCATGACATTCAGATAAAAGGAAGTGCATGTCATTTCTTTCACACCCAGAGTGAAAATGTAGTGATGAAGGAGTTTCTCAAGCCTCTCTGACTCTCACAGCTTTTTCCCAAGCCCAGGGCTGAGGCCCCTGATGGGCCAATCCGCTATCTGACAGAGAGAAAGGCAGAGAAGAGGAAAACAAGGTCTCGGAGGAAGAGGGAAAAGCAGGCAGACGATATCAGAAATCTTTACCCACTGCAGTGTCAGCCTAATTATAAAGCTCTTATTGTTCAGGTTGTCGAGGATAGGTGCCTGTAAAATAGCTTAACAAGAATGGGCATCCTGTGAGGTAACTGTGTTTGCGGCGTGCCAGTCTCCCACAAGTCTTTCCATGAGACACAAAGCAACAAGGTCCTCTGAGCATGGGCAGAAAAGGGAGGAAGAGGAGGAGGAAACAGAGAGAATATTTGAAAAGACGGGTATTTCTTTAACTAAGTGGAGTAAATTACTCAATTTCTTTGAGTGTTCGGTTTTGTGATAGAAATGTGACAGCTCATGATTCTTAACTGAAGCAGAAATATATCTAAATGTCGCTTCTCGCTGACAGGCTGTCATTAAGCTTATCCAATATGTTGGCTCCAGTACATTTATTTGGTTTTAGGCTTAAAAAGAAATACAATTTAAACCCAAATGCATTATGCAATTAAACAGATTAACTACCGCTAGCTTAAATTTGCTCAAAGAATTCAAATACTGTAATGTACTTTCGAGTTATATAAATAAAACTGAATTTAATTGAACATGTTTGTTACATTATGTTTAGATTTAGGTTGCATTTGATTTAATATAGAAGGCTGATTCAATAAAAAGTGTTGTAGGTAGGTTTCTGACGATTATTGTGTGAAGCTCTTTCAATCAGCTAAAAAATACCTGCGCACCAGTATAGATGACAGGTGCATTGGCGGAAAACTTCTGCAACATGTTAATTAAAACTCGGTAGGAAGTCACTTTATGAACAAGTTGGTAATTATTTGTACTACTTGATATTTGTATTTCGTCTTCATCGGTTTATATATTTGAATATGTGGGAAAAAACTGTGTAAATTTGTGAAAGATCTTTGCCATGGTGTTGTTGCTAATGAGTATAGGCTATTTTGGTGATATTTTCTGTGCAGGCAAGAAAAGGGTTGGATAGATGTTATTTATGGTTAGCTTCAGTCTAATGCTTTGGGTTTTTTTTAAATAATATTCTGATTAATGGCACATACATGTGAAATGTGCTAATCACACTTTAAGTTCTGACTGGATGATTGAAACATTTCAGGAGGATGTGTGTGTGTGTGTGTGTTTGTGTGTGTGTGTGTGTGTGTTAGTGAAAGTATGAACATTAACTATATACCTGATAAAGGTCAACCAGCCAAAAACCTTGTGTGTGGTAGTTATATTTAAATTATAAAAGAAAGTCGTTAAAATGAACATTTAGGTAGCTTTGTTGGATTTCTCAAAAGTGAAATATAGATTAGGTTTCACAGATTATAAGATAAGACTGTGTTTTTATTAGGTCCTGTGGACTTAATCCCATTGGAAAAGTAAATGAAAACTAACTCAGGCTGATTTTACACTGGGACAGTACAAAAGATGGACATAGTTAGGAAGACGTCACTCTATTTATTTGTGTCCCGTTTTGAAGATTTTTCTTGTGGTCGATAACTTGACGTTTTGACGTTTGTTGGCATCACTTTCCAGACTAGAAAGCTATATTTCCTTTTACATAATCTGTAACCCAACCGGTAATCCAACCAACCAAATCCAGAAGATTACTTTTAAGTTCATCAGGTGGAATTAAACAAGGGCAATCAGATGCCTTCATTTCTTCTTTTAGTTCTTTCATCTTTTAAGAGGCAACAGAGACACAGGCTGAATCAAGATGTGACTCTTTATGTATGTTAATTTGATAATTTGGAATAGATTAAATTAATAACTACATCTTGCATTGTTGCTTTTTCTGCAAATGAATATTTTGGATTATGTCAGAAACCCACAAGTCAGAGGAACAGCTGCATGAGACTCATGGCCACAAAGCTACATCTTTGTTTGAGCATGGGAAGAAAACGGAGGAGCATTCAGGAGGAGAAACGGAAAGAAAAGGTATCCCTTGTGTATGAAGTGTAGCGACTGTAGTTAGTAGCTCAGTGTAGTTAGTGGTGTGCATGGTAAGTAGATTGCACTTTGTAACTTAAAGCAAAAAACAAAAACTGTAAACAGTAGAACTGTATTTAAATTTTTGTTTCTTATGTTAATCGTGGTTGTGATGTGTTAAGTCTCCCATGAGTCTGAAAAACATTCACATGAGATTCGTGGCCACAAAACTACTTCCTTGTCTGAACACGGAGCAGGAAGGGAGGAGGAAGATGAGGAAGAAGAAAGAAAATCCAAAGAGACAGGTATCTAGTGGTGGAAAGTACGAAAATCTACAGCATATGTAGATTTATGTACCTTACTTTACTTGTTGTGCAGATGTGCTGTAGACTTAAATGAAACTTGGCAATCACTAGGTCCCCTAATACATTGGAAACAACAGAGTATTTATCATAAATTCTCCTCATTATTTCAATCACAGCTGTGGCGTTTCAGACCACCACCAGTCTTAGGGACACATACATGACAACCAGAGCTGTAGTTAAAGTATATAATAGTAGTAGTGTTCGCCATGTGTTACACATCTTCCCGTTAAGTTGATAAAAATATGTGGTGTTTCAGTCTCTCACAAGTCTGAGGAGCTCGTACAGGAAACTCACAGACACGCATCCACAACCCAATCTCAGCACGGGGAAGAGAAGCATGCAGAAAGCAAAGGTACTGCGTTTTGTGCACAGTGGTCCAAATGATGTCATAGTGTTCACAATCCGATTTGGAGATCATAAACAGAAGACTTTTAGCTTCTTTTAAACAACTTTTACAGTTAAATACTAACATGTTATAGAGGCTTTTGAGGGACGTTTTGTGAATAAAAGCTGTGGTATAACAGTTTCCCACGCATTTGAGGAACACGACGCTCACGGCCACAAAACAACAGCCTCATCTGAGCACGGTGAAAATTCACATGAAGTGGTGCATCGAGAACGAGGAGAAGAACGGAAAGGTGACAGTTCTATATGCACTGTAGTGGCAACTCTGTAGCTAACTGTAGTAAACTTGTAGTGTCCTGACTCAAAACCGCAGAGAAGCATTTTTATTTTTATATGTAAACACACATTCATGACTGTCTTGTGACAGTTTCCCACATGTTTGACGGGCACACACGTGAGACTCACGGCCACAAAACAACAACCTCACCTGAGCATGGCGACGGGCATGAAGAAAGAAAAGCTGAAGGGAAAGGTATACAAATGCACTCTTCCTGCTCATGCTAAACAAATGCACTGTAGAATTATATAGCAGTGGGCATAGGCGAGTAAGGAAATATGCAGGTGATAAATGAAAACATGATTTATTTACTACAGAAGCCAGACATGGAAATGTGTCTCAGTTTTGGCTTGTTATGTCAGTGACAATTGTGGTGTTTCAGCTCCCCACAATTTTGTGGAACACGTACACGAGATTCACAGCCGCAAACCAACAACCTCATCTGAGCATGGGGTGGAAAGAAAGGAGGAGGAGAGTGAAAGTAAAGGTATTTTTAGAGCATAGTGGAGACAAAGTCTTTATAGATTTAACATGGGCTTTATTAATAAATAAAGCAGAAGAAATTAATGTTTGCCCAATGAGATTTTTTTCTGGTTCTCACTGAAAATTGTGTCAGGAGAACACACACACGAGACTCATGGCCACAGAACAACCTCGCATGTGCACGGATGGAGACACGAGGAGAATAATGAAATACATCCTGAAACAACAGGTACTTTATCTTTTATGTTGTAGTGTCACGCGAAACACAGCACACAGAAGAAATACAACTTGTTAACAATAATGACTGTGTTGTGTCAGACCCCCACACATTGGAGGGGCATGTACATGGGGCCCACGGTCACACAACAACAACCTCACCTGAGCACAGACAGCAGGAGCATATGGAAAGAAAACCTGAAGGTAAAGGTATTGTTGAAATCTAGTAGTAGCAGGTTTTGTTTTTTTAGATTTAATATAGCATTTTAGCTTAATTTTAGTACTAGTAGCAGTATTTGTATTTATTTATTATAGTTTTTATTATTCTGAAATCAAACCCAATAGCCCGATCAAGAATCGAAGCTGTTCTGAAGGTGACTTTTAACCACAAGTTAAAAGTCTCCTTCAGAATAAATATGGCAACTTGCTTTTTTCTTCTGTTCAAGGCAATTGTGGGTTGCCAGTTCCCGTTAGTATGTTGAGCTCCAATGTGGGACTCATGGTCATAAAACATCACATGGACATGGGGAGGAGGAGCATGTGGGAAGCAAAGCTGAAAGTCTCTCAGTTTAATACACAGTAGTAACAAGTTTCTTTTTAAAACTCAAAAACCTCCTAAAAATTGGGGCCTGGAAGGACTGTATTAAGAAAAATAATTTGAATTTAATGTCTCAGCAGTTAGATTGTGTATTGGTTCATTTAAGATATAGTGCTAAATTTTAAATATAACAGCATAAAAAAAATACAAAACAAACTAAATTGGCATTTCAGTTTCCCACCATAATGAGGAACACTTGCATGGGACTCGTGGCCACCAAACCGTATTTGAGCACAGGCATCAGGACAGGAGGTGTATCCACTTTACAGTATATTTAGTGGGAATATGCAGGAAGCAAAGCTGAAAGGACTGGCATTTGGAACTGGGAGGATCATATTCAGAACAATAATTTCAATTTGATGTTTCAGCAGCTGGATTCACAGCAATTAGGTTAAGATAGCTATTCTCGTGAATTTAATATGAATTTATTATACATATTATATACATTATACCAACGTATATTCAGATATAATATATTATCTGAATATTAGAAAAAAAACAACAGAAATGTTTCCTGATTATATAAATGTGTTTTGTCAGGCCAACACAAGTCTGAGGAACACATACATGAGGCCCAGAGCCACAATATACCACCTGAGCACAGAACAGCTGAAATTACAGGTACCATATGAATAATCTTCTGCATTATATTTTTGCTAAACAATGGCTAGACTGTTCCCCCGACTTGAAATTCCCAGCTACTATTAATTGTTGTGGTGTTTAAGCCTCCCACAACCCTGATGGATATGTGCATGGTGGACATGCAGAAGAAGCTCATGGCCATAGAGCATCTGAGCATGGACATCACAAGCCTGAGGGACATGTGCATGGTGGACATGTAGAAGAAGCTCATGGCCATAGAGCATCTGAACA